TGTGTTAATTTAAGCTACCTAAACTTAGCTATGAGTTTAAAATAAACGTTATTCCGACTTGGTTAAGTATCTATCCAACAGTAACAACAACGTTTTTATCAACTTTTACCGTTATATTTGTATATTAATGTTGAACGTTAAATTGAAACCACCGAGAAAGTTTTTTTGTTTGTTTGTTTGTTTGTTTGTTTTTTCTACATCCTCCTTAAAGTCTTATTTCAACAGCCTAGTTAATGGTGAAGTATATCAATAGTTTATTCTTGTGTCATTTATTAATTATTACAATTATTAACAACTTTGGAAGGAAATGAAATAGCTAACAGTTGGACGTCTCAGGTAGAGTCGGCGTTAAATTTTCTAATTTAGCTTTAAATGGAAATGTTTATCTGTAAATGTTTTGTATTTATTGGTTCGGGTTAGTTTTTCTTGACTTCAGAACCTGTGCCAGTTTGACAGCCTGACTAAGCAGAGAACAGTCCACCAACTCTGACAGCAGACCGACTCGAGCCAAGCCGATGAAATGAATATTGATTAGGGAGCAGCCTATTGATGAGCCCCGGGGCGGGCTGCCGCTGCGCTCCACATGTGCAAACATTTAAAAGTGATGGCGAAGAGCTGCGCGCACTGGCTCGATGTTTACTGGGGGAGTGAAGCACCGTCCGCAGCTCTTCTTTCTTATAGCTGGGCTGGAAAACGGTGCTTTCTTTACTTCTGTCTTTGCTGTTTGGTATTAGATGTGTGCAAACTTGAGTAGGAGATCAGTGTTTGAACTGTCCTTCTCACCCCTCACAGGATAAAATGCTGCCGGACACCTACGGTTGCGCCGTGGAGAACAGGTTCGGCGATCTTCTGGATGACGAGGCCGATCCTTTCGACTTGATCAGCGAAGTGGAAACGGAGAATGAGAAAAAGAAGAAAAAGAAAAAGGAGGAGGAAGAGAAGAAAGGCAAGCAGAAAAAACCCGGGCAGAAGGAGTCCCAGAAGGAGAGACGGGTCCCAGTTGCTTTGGATGCTCAAGACCCGGTTCCGGGTAAGCCAACAGCCTGGCTGCATTACAGTGACACACCCCAAATCCAGACGGTTCTGGTAGCTGTGAGTATTTCTAGACTAGACAGTCCAGCCAAGTGGGACCAGTATGCCCAAGCTTTGTCAGCTGCTAATGATGCAAAGTCAGCGAGGCTGCACATGTGCAGGCTGCTGGAGTGGGTTTCCAGGTAGCTTTGTTGACCCACTGATCTGTGCTGTGGGTGCTGTGGTAATGTGGACCCAAATGGAACTTTAGGGTTTGTTTTTTTTAAATAGCAAATTCAAACATGCATTTAAATGCATGCATTAATTCCAGCCATCCATTACAAAGATAATTAAAAACAGTGCTTTCTTTTTTTCAAAGCATTTTTTGTTGGGTGAGGTTTACTAAAATGTAAGCTGGAGATTAGGAAATATTTTCATAATCAGGGTTGAGGCTCAAAGTTTTGCTGGAAGATTCAGATATGTAGGCAGCACTTTTTGAGAGGTTATAGAATGCATTTAAGTGGCTTTACAGACTTCAGGAAAAAATAAATATACATATAATTTACCAAATAGGGCAAAAAGTGATAAAACAACCAAATTCCAATATCTCTCCACCTCACTTTGTGTCCCCAGTCCGTAAGCAGCAGCAGGCACGTCCTGCACCAGTGGCTGAGCATGGAGATGGACAAGAGGCCCAGGGAGGCATAAAGAGAGGTGCTGCTGCTGCTGCTGCTGCTGGCCAGCGTAGGGCCAACCAGGACGAACTCCCACGGGAGTTTTCCGTCTCTAGGTATGTATTCTCACTCCGGTGTTAATGGATCCTTAAGGATAGAAATATCTGGAACTCCCAACTAGTCAGTCAGAACTGATGAAGCTTCTTGGATGAGAGGTGGAACATCATCAAGGAACTCAAGCAAGTCCAGTTGCTACGATTAATCCACGAGAACAACCATGACCTGGATGACTGAGAATCTTCACAGACGTATTCTCATATAAAATGTGGTTACAAGAAGAAAACTCTGCTTTTCTTCCTAAGTTCAAAGTGTCCAGATTATGATTAATGTTATCTTCACTAGTTGTCTTAAATTACATTTTTTACAGAAAGCAATTTGTTAACTTCCCTTTAATCCTAAGCGTTATCTAAAATAAGAAAGCAACATTTAAAAGAAGAAATAACACTTTCTTCCTCTTCCAGAGAAATCACAACTTCCTTGTTCCTCACAAGTAATGAAACCCTTCATTCAACACACTGATAGTTTGCTTTTACAGTCTTTCTTAGTGTCGTAGTTTATGCGTGACGTTATTAAACAACAGTTAAGTATGCTCCTGTGCAGTAGTCGGTATTGATGGAAGTCACGTTACTTACCAGTGCTACCCCAGTTTGAAATGTACAAATTGACACAGGAGTAACTGGAGTATAACTCTCATTGTTTGCCAGGCCCTCTGCTAATACCGACTCTGACCTCAAGGGCAGAGGAGGGAACAGAGGTAGGAGAGGAGCAAAGGGTGGAGGAAATACAAGGAACCCTGACAACTTCAATGTGAGAGGCAAGAGAGAATATGACCGCCACAATGGAACGTAAGCGCCTTTGGACATGTTGCAGTCCAATTTAATAAGCTTGACTTTCATTAGATTTCTTTCATAATGGTGGAGTTGTAATTAATTAATCATCAGTCAATTGTAATACAACCATGCAGAGGTATCTCTCCTGAGGAAAAGAGAGGAGGCAGGGGAGCCTGGAACTGGGGCTGTGTTGAAGAAGCTGCAAGGTAAGTGCACATTCATTAGCATAGAAATGACAGCTTTTATACTCGAGCACAATAGAAATACGATTCCGTTTGTCCGTGTCCCTTTTTGTAAAGTGAAGTGATGGAGCTGACATCAGATACTCCAGTCAAATCAGACGAACCCCAAATACCTGTGGTGGAAGAGAATCTGAATCGGTGAGTGACACTGAGGTATCTTTCTGATAGACGTAACGACAGCAATAAAAATGTATAATATGATGAAACATTACATGTGTTAAAGGAAAGCAGGATTTCTTTAAAGCAACTGTTTGTGAAAAATGGTAAGACATCTGCTGCCTTAATATGGATCCATTTTTTGCTAATTGTGATTGAGTTGCAATAATGTTTGAACATTAATTTTGCCAGTGAAATGTCATTTCTTCTAGTGACAAGGCTGCAAATAATGAGAAACAAACCAAGAAGCTCTGTTTGGCTGTGACACACTGGGTGTAAACTGTAAGGCATAAAAATGTGAAATGAAACTGGACTGACACATGCAGTTTGTTCCAATTTATGACAGAGCAACGGATGAGGAGGATGGAGAGATGGTGGTCCAGGTTGCCATGGAGATGACCCTGGATGAGTGGAAGGCCCTGCAGGAGACGAGTCGTCCCAAAGCGGAGTTTAATATCCGCAAAGCACAGGACAAGATTCCCTCCAAAGCCAAGGTCATCCACCAGTCAAAGCACCTGGAGGTGAGAATGGAGAGAACAGGCTGGAGTTTGTTGAGAAGCTACAGAGCCAGTGTGTTTTATCTAGACTGCCTTTCTGTTCCCTTGTAATAATGCTTGCGTTTTCTCGGATCTTAAGAAAGAAGCTGGGCTATATTATGATACAGAACCGGGTAGTAGAGCACTAGTGGTTGTGTGAATTGATGCCCTCTCAGCTGTGGCTGCTCAGGCACAGATCTGTACGGCTGCAGTTAAAGACTAGAGGAGCTACATCTCCAGCTCTCATTGATCACTGTTAAAGCTGATTAAGACAGACTGTAGCCATGGAATCACATAACTGTACTGAAATTGTGGCTGTACTTTGGGTATTAAGATTTTAGCTGTGACACTATAATGGGTGCAACACTATGCACAGGGGTTGTGTGCGGTGAATTGATATGACTAAGCATTGTTTTGAATCCACAGTTCTACTGAATTACTGTGGTGACACATGGTAACACATCTGTCATAGAAACAGAACAAGGTGGTAACGTTACAGAACAGCTAGACATGTCCATAGCACTCTAGGTTCAGATACAAACGCAGCAGAGCCAGTCACATATAGTGATACAGCTTGGCCCTGTGAAAGGACTGAGTAATACATGCATCATGTAAAATGTTCCATCATCTCTGCTTCTGTAATATCTGGAGAGCTTGTCCTGAAACTGACAGTGCACTATAACCTGCACTACAACCCAAGTGGGCCAAAACACCAGCCGTATGCATCAGGCAGAATCCAACAACTAATCCTAAACTTATTGCAGAGTAATACAAAAGTACTGTGAGGAGTCACTAAAGGGATTTGACTGTAAGACCTTGCTTGTTTCTCTGTAACACACAAACTGGTCTTTGAAATGTATAAACTAAGCAGACTGAATTAATCAGTTGTTTTTTAGTGTCACAGTTAAAAGTCAAAACTGTAATGAAAGAATTTCCTCATATAAATGCAGTTTCTTTGCAGCACATTCCCAGGAACTGCATGTCATTTGAAAAACATTCTTTTTATGTTTATGTGAATATACGAGTTGTGTCAGAAAAGTTTCAGGACTGGTGTCACAAAAGATATGTTTCAAATTCAAACTACAGACTACAAGTTTTCTCCTTCGAAGTAATCCCCCTGGAGTCTAACCCACTCCCCCAGCCTTCTCTGCCACACCGCCATGCACTCCTGGAAGGATTCTTTCAGGATCCTCTCAGCTCCGTCGTCACAGCCATCTTGATGTTGTCCACGTCTTCTAAATGGGTTCCCTTGATGACACCCTTGAGCTTGGGGAAGAGGAAACAATCCCACAGAGCCAGGTGGGGTGAGTAGGGAGGTTGCTCCAGCACGGAGATGTTCTTCTCAGCCAGAAACTGTCGGATGCTCAGGAAGCTGTGAGCAGGCGCGTTGTCATGGTGAAGCAGCCACCACTTATCCTGCCACAACTCTCGCCTCTTCTCTGAACGAAGCAAATGCTGCAGGATCTCTTTGTAGACGTGCTGGTTGATCGTCTGAAGGGGAAAACTCCTCGTTTGTAGTTTGGGTTTGAAATCTATCCTTTGTGACACCAGTCCTGGAACTTTTCTGACACACCTCGTAGAAGCAACAGAGGTTCACTATGGAACGGTTCAGGATGTTGTGTTCATTGAGTGTTTGATAATGTGCTCACACCGTCACCCTCTCTGGTAGATTTTGTTGCACTCGTCATCAACTTGTGTAAGATGTGTGTCTATATATAACCTAACGTCTTTCACTCTCCGCTGTATGTCGTCACTTTGTGTGAAGAGCCTCGTCTTTCTGTTAAGACAGCAATGCTAAATGCAGAGCAGAGACGGGCAGAAGCCACGACTCACTCACTCAGTACGAGGTTCTGAGTGACGGTCCACTAATGCAGCACTCTGCACTGATGGAAGTAATTACTGGCTGAAATTCCACTACCTGAGCATTAATTAAATGTTCTTGCTTATCATTCAATAATATATCTGCCACTGGTATTGCACATCCCTGGTTTTAACAGATGTGCAGCTCAAACTGAGACAGACGTGTTTGGACACCCTGTAGAGGCATCAGTGAAGATCATCGTTCTTTGTATAACTGCTTGACAACATGTGGGTACAGAATCAGGTCTTTCTTTCTTTTAAAACTTCCTCCTTCGTCATTTAGTTTGATGAGCAGAATTTGTCCAAGTCATTTTTGTTGCCATTTTGAGGGTCCATGTTTAGTGATAAACAGAACTGAAAGTATTTCTACAGATTTAACATTTTCTAACCATATGAACCTCATGAAAGACCGCATAGCGTTCAATATATCAAGACCACAGTCTATTTAACACTTGCTTTTAATTTTCAGAACCTCAAGGCCGCCGTGGAGGACACGGAGGATGAAGGAAACTTCCTCCGCAGATCTGTCAATGACATCACCTCCCTCATGGACATCAATTTTGGGAGTCTTGGACGCCCGAGTCGCGGAGGAAGAGGGAGGGGAGCACGAGGGGGTCGAAGTGGTCGTCCAGAGAGAGCCGGTCCCCTACTGGAGAAGGTACGATACGATAACTCTCAGCTGACACAAAACGATGGATAACTGCATGTCTGTGTTTGGCCATGAAATGTGGGACAAGAACTGAAATGCTTCCACCCGTCATTGTAGATAACGTTCACCGTTATCGGATATGTTTGCCTTGAGGTTTTTGGTTTTTCTAACAGGACTACAACTGAGAATTTACTCACCTCACATAGTCAACAACAGGACAACAATTAGCAAGACACGATTATAATCAACAACAAATAACCTTTTCCCACTAGGAGGACAGTCTGGCGCCGAACCCTGACGACCCAGAAGACTTCCCGGCACTATCAGCAGCAAGATAACTGAATTTGCTCTTCTTCGTTTACCTCCTGTTGCGAAACAATTTCTATGTTTCTGCATTTCTTGGGATTTGGGGTTCTATTGCACTGAATGCACAGTTTAATAAATGCCTTTGCAAGTTTTTTTCTTTTTTAATGTTTTGAAGGCAACACTTTATTTAAATCAAGCACATTTTGTCTTGTGATTTCTAATTTTTTTCCCCAGGCAAGAATTCTATGATGTGCTGGCCAAACCAGCACGGTCTTGTTGTGGCTCGTTAGCGTCGTTCTTGAAAGCGTTTCTATCACAGTGAAGACAACTGCCAACTGGATACTGTGCTAAATGCATCTTAATATGTTGAGCATATGGAGCAAAGACACTGGAGACATACTTGGGAGTACATTTATTTAAAAAGGCTGCTTCTATGTGCTTCAAGCAAAGATCTTTAGTGGATTATGATCATGAGTTAGACAAGGCCCCGTCAGGACCGTTCACTTATTTCATAGCATGATTTTAACAGTACAAAATATTTACAAAATACAGAGTATATCAAATGTCGACATATTTACAGTCAGGAAAGACAGGAGCTGAAAGGCTTCACAGGTAAATGACAGGAATAAGACAAGCCAGATGCTGAGGATGGAGGTATGAATGTGCACAGTTCTGCATCATGTGATGAAACGCTGGCCAACAGTCTTTCATTGCAGATATTTCAACTGTACCCAAGGCAAGCGCGCCCTGGTGGCTTCTGCAGTGGAGGGACAGGAGCAGGTCTGAAGTCCAAACTCCATCTATAAATCTTAAACGACGCCTCCTCCTGCCTTACAAACCAAAAAAATATCTGCTGCACAGTGCTCGTTCTGGAGGGAATCTCTCAGATTCACACATTCACATGCCGGTCTGATGGTTGTGGTTTAAGCTGATGTTTGCTACTGCATGCTTCAATAAGTAGGAACAACCAGGCAATGATTAAAACGATCAGTTTTGTTTCATGATGCTGTGTTTTAAAGTACAAAAACCAAAGTGCCTCGTTGGTAAAATAACTTGGAATTAATCTAAAAACGAATTACATGTCACATCACGTCGGTTAAAGTTTGCTCCAACCTTTTTCTTGAAATTAAAAATCTACCGAAAGAGTAGTACAGCTGTATAGAAGTCGGATATCCTCAGTATTTCCAGATCCACAGGCTCATCGGAGTAGAGGAGCTCTAGCTTTGGGTATGGAGTGACTGTAAAAGAAAAACAAAGTCTGCGTTAACAGAGAAACCGATTTCCTAGTTTTACACACTGCAATATAAACTTAACAGGTTCAACAAATCAGAGAGAGAGAGTGTTTCATAACAATGCCAGTTCAAAATACAGCAAATGTAGGACAGAAAAGTTGAGAGATAGATACCATAGCCTGGAAAATCTAATTGATTGCAAAGAGCTTCGAGCTTTACGTCCTCGGGAGACAGTGCGTCTGTTGTATACAAGAAATACAAAAGAAGGAAAGAGAAGAGAGATCATATTTACAGATGAGCACAAGAAAAGGCTGCAGACATGGTGACAACAGGCAGATCACACAGTGAGCAGCAGTGTCCAGAAAGCTACAGCCAGTCATCGTCCGAAATACGCGGTTCTTAGAGAACATGGCAAGAAAGACTGAAAGAAGCAGCAGGGAGACTGAGGCAGGTGGAGTTTAATTTGGCATCCTGGTACCGGTAGATAAACAGATTTACTGCGTTAGTCCTGGACAGTGTCAGACTATATGTAATGTTAGTACAACATCTGAGTAAAGCCAGGCTGGGTTGCACCATCATCACTGCATCTAACATTAATTATGCTGGTCGGTAAAGAGTTCAGCTTAGTGTGGATGAACACTTCAAACAATCGAAGTGAGAGGAAGATGGCAAATATAGTCTAGATTTATTACCTTGCCATATTTGATGAAGCTTCTCATCTTGGCATTCTCTGCTCTGTTAGCCTTGGAAATATGCTCAGCTTTTGCAAACATTGGTGGTTTAAAATGGAAAGTCATTTTCAAATTAACTGAGGAATATTATTCTCTAAAAGCAGTTCTTCATCCTAATTCAATAGTTTCTACTGAGATCAGACACATGGGCCTTCAGATACCTCAACTGATACCTGAATCATGAGATCAAACCACACGTTAGGGAAGATAAACTAGGTACAAAGTCTGATTGCAAAGAATTTGTGGTTAAACCACAGCTGAGTTTTGTTTAAGTTGCTGATGCAGCCCAGCCTGAGCTCTTTAAGTGGTTATGACACAACCGCCGTCTTGAACATTGAGAGGAGGAGAAAAAGGGGGAGTGTTCATAGCCTCTAGATTTTGGCTGCATTTACACATCACATGTTTACCTTTGCTCTACAGATCTGATCGTCTAATGGCTGCCAAAACCGCAAAGAAACCATTTGAAAATATGACTCTTCCTGTTTGGGCAGCACAGTGAAGATCTGCTCTTCACTTTAAAAAAAAAAAAATAGCATCGTAGAAAACGGTTTGTATGTGTTGTGCAAATGCAGCCCAGATCTCCAAAAGGCTCAAAGAGGGTCTGAGGGAGCTTGCCTGCAGGTGGACCTGCGCCATGTTAAAGTTGATGAGAGTGCCTGTGCTGGGTGTGACACTGGCTGTGTCTCTATGGCTGCCACAGGGCTCACAACACATTGGGTCTCTGTCGCCAGCTGCGACATGCAAGTTGCCTAGGGACCTGACCAGTCTGGTGTGGCACAGCGAGCTGGCAGAGAGAAGGGAAGCTGTTAATTCACACCACAAGGATCCATGAGTGGCTATAGCCTCTTGATTGCTTTTCAACTGTGCGTCAATGCCACATGAACACGACACATGTATCTGTTATACCAGGGGCGGGCAATCCTGGTCCTCGAGGGCCACAATCCTGCATGTTTTAGATGTTTTCCCCTCTTCCAACACACCTGATTCAAATGATCAGCTCATCATCAAGCTCTGCAGAAGCCTGATAATGATCCTGATCATGTGAAACAGGTGTGTTGGAAGAGGGGAAACATTTAAAACATGCAGGATTGTGGCCCTCGAGGACCAGGATTGCCCACCCCTGTGTTACACCCTTTCTGAAAATGGTAAGATGATAAACTAAACTAAACCTCGGCTGCTTTTAAATAAAAAGGCATCTGATGTCTGTGCAGGAGACGGCGTCTGCTCTTCCTCATTATGTGTCATTTAAGTAAATAAGTGCTGAGCGCCAAATCCAGCCACTGACCTTCCTCCTACACCGTTAGCTGGCAATGAGGTTCTGGTCCTCTTCCTGCTGTCTGAGTGGTCAGAGAGAGCCAAGGGGCCGACGCTGGTCTTACAGCCCTGAACACTGGCCTGCAAGATGACCCTGCTGCACAGGAGATAGATGTCATTAATTAGTCTGCGCCCTGTCTTATATGACCGTGTGAAGGTGTTGTGTGTGTATACAGCACACGTTACCTCAGGGACTGTGATGATGACCTGGTGTGTATCTTATTCTCCTCTTGTCTGTGAAGACAGCAAAACGATAGTAAAAATGTGAAACTTTAAATATCAAGAGAGACGACAAGATTTGGAGGCAGAGGAGGAAAAGACTGCATGGAGATGGGCAAGAGGGTTTCTAACAATTTGATTGCTTTTTAAAAACTTGTGAATAGATTATAATTGCATTCAGCAGCCAGGTAAGATTAGTAAAGCCAAGTTAAGTATGAGAAGAAAAAAGCCAGGGGGTGGCATTAAGCAGCCTTCAGTGAGACTTGATTTGTCTTTGGCTGTCTGACAGGGTTACATCTTAACAGTTGGCACTCCAGTCAACACAATACCCAGCAAAGCATGATTTTTTTAAAAGATGACAGGCTGATGGGAATGTCTATGGTACAAAATCAATATGTACAGAAGATGGTGACAAGGACAAGGCAGGAGCCTCTGATGTCGTAGATTTTTTTAAAATAAAAACTGGCTCTGCTCATCAGCTACAAATTTACAGTACTTGCAGAAGGAATAAAATAAAGAGAGGATGATTTTGAACAAATTTCTGATTCGGGTTGGGAATTTAAAAAAAAAATACAAATAAAAGAGACTGGGGGCTCACTTACAGCATTCTCAGTTAGAGCTCCAGAAGGAGGGGCAGGACAGGTTTTTTGGGGGCTGACGGGCGGTAGAACTCATTGAAATCCTAACCCGTCTATACAGAAATGCAGGATGGAAGAAGGGAAGCCATACACAATCCACCACAGGGCAAGGCTACACAGGGAGGAGAGCAGCATGGCTACCAGCCATCTGAAAGGAGGACAAATCCAACAACAAGAGCAAACGGAAAAAAAGGGGAAAAAAAGGAAGGAGAGACAAGAGACGTCTGGGCAGGACACAAAGCCTCTGATGTTCTGCTTTTCCACTGGGACTGGATTAGATGAAACACCTTCTCACAGAGCCTTGCATCCAACAGTGCCAGACAGCAAGTTTTTTGTTCTCCACTTGCTCTGAAGTGCAGGCAGTCTGCCATATGCTTAGAACCAAACCAATGGAGGAATTTTTGAAGTGGATATTGATATTTGAGAGTCTGAAAAAGCTAATAATATACAATAAGAAAAGAAAAGACAGTCCATTTGAATACAAAATCTTAACAGAGAGGATAAATCAGTAGATAGATATTTAAAAGTTTACAACAAATGTTACTTATGAGAGATATAAAGATCACACTGGATTCACTTTTAATTTCTAATATATAATCAAGTAAAATAAGAGCCTATAAAAGCATTTATCTGGGGGTTGATATCAACCTGCCACTGTACTGGTTGGCTTCTAAAAAGTCTTTAAAAGGTCAGATCAAGACACAATAATTAATAGATCAAATTTTGTTCCACAGAAACAGTTTTAACAGAAGCTGGCAGAGACGCAAACCTGAAGGAGCAAACAAAGCTCAGGCGGCATGTGTACATTGATCCAGTCACAGGAGCAATGGAAAAATAAACAGTCGACGATGATCCCGGCCCAACATCAGTTACATGTTAGACACAAACACAGAGGCATGAGCATGCGGTGCATGTCCAAGGGCGTCATGCCTTGTTGCCATGCGTGGAAAAAAGGCAAGAGGAGATGAGGAAAAAGTTAGGATATCCTTCGTTCTAGTCGTCCCTGGAATTCAACATGCACTCAGGTGTTACGCAACAAAACAAACGGTGGAGCCAGATGGTGGAAGTTCAGCTGGAAATTAGAGGTTTGTGTAGCGACGCACACGCCGGTGCAGCATATGGCCTGAAGTGCAAGCAAATCTCCCTTCTGCCTCGACTCCCTCGTGAGGATGGATAAGAACCCGTTTGCATCCCGCTACCTCCTCAGAAGCTCGGTGTATGATGCTTTGTAATCCTTTGTATTAAGAGTGTTTATCAGGAGGAATTTACCATCCCCAGCATTGAAGCCGCTAATTAAACCCATAAAACACCTCAGTCGCAGATGATTCTAATACCAAAAGAACGATTTGCGATTTCCCAAAACACCTACAGCTTAAACGAGTTTAGCTATTGTACCCAGCAATGAGGAAGTTCCTGCTGCAGATGAGAAAGAGGCCCAAGTTTCCCTCACTAGCTATTATGTTTTTTTTTAAAGTGCCAAGTCAGTAATGCAAGCCAAGCACTTAAACATTTAATTCAACTAATCCAGATCTAGTTTAAAACCGTGATTAGTTGAATAACTTTTGTTTAACAAGTCCAGTGGGCTCAACTTAAGAGCTTTGTCGTCACTCGGAGGATATCTCGGATACGCCTCGATATCAAAGCAGCACAGCTCGGTGTGTCCATGAGGCAGATAATGAAAGGCGTGTAAATGTAATGCATCCACTAAGTGCATATCCACTTCACACCATCCAAAGAAAGAAAGGAAAAAAAGAAAAAAACAGAACAACTTCAAATCAGCCATACCGTTAGCCATACCATTCACTGGCATAGCAACCATTTCTACAAGGAGGAGGATGTCAGCTAAATAAGGAAGTGACGTGCACTTACCTCCATCATACAAAACCTCACATCCTCTCTCTGTTTTTCCTCTCCCCCACTCTCTCTCTGCCTCTCTCTGCTATCTTTTGAACGGCAGGCAACACATCGGCCACACCGTGCCCATGAGGCTGCAGCAGAACACTACCACCTGCCTGACATGGGACAACAAAAGCCAAAGCCATATGGGTACATTGGCAGAGGCCGGTCAACCATCCTCAGCCACGGTGACACCCGGCCTTCCACAGCTTGATTTACATGGGCACAAATGATGTGGACTTTAGATGGGGGAAAAAAGAAGAGGTAAGCGAATAAAATAAAATAAAAATATTTATGAAGATTCTTCCTGATCAATAATGGGGTTAGCATTAGCACGTTAGCGCCTTCAGTGCTGTCATAGAGCTGGCTAGTCACATGCTATGGCTGTCCGGCCTTTTTTCTTCCACATAAAAATACACCAGAAACAACCATTTTCCAAATGTGATGTCTGTGAATTTGTTTGGCATTTCAAAGAATAATTGGTTCGTAGTTTCACATATGCCAAGCAATGAGCACACGCTTGTATTGCTGCAGAGCAAAGACAGAAATAGAGATGCTTTATGTTTTACTGTTGCTCCCATGTCGGGGATGCAGGATCCTTACGTTGCTGTGTTTGTAGTATCATTACTACATGTCCATTTGCACAGCATCAGTTTAGATTTAATCACAGCCTGCTCCTCTTATGTTCACTCACAATCCAGAGCGGTTTTGATTGTATAGCTACTTGTGCAAATGCTTGTTTCATCTTAACATTTATGTCCTTATTAGGTTTCTTTTAGGTACACAGCTTTGGTATGCAGCAATTTCACTTTAAACATGTTCTTTTAATTACAATCTGTAATCAAAACCTGTTACCTCACGTCCTCTATTGACTAAATGAGTGTCCCAGTTACCTACAGGCGATCGTGACATGATAACCGAGTGACTAGAGAGCTCTATAGCGCTTTGGCCTACAAATGTTTTCCTGCAACTCAGGAGATTTATTTTTACCTGACAGACTATCACAGCTCCACAGATGGACCACACATGGATTAAACTTCCACATCTTTTGTGCCCTTCTAAATCCAGCTTTCAACAAAAGTTGTTTTTTTTTTTTCCTGGAAGAGCGCGCATCAAGTAACTCAATTCCAGCCCTGCACACAACCGTGTCACTTTACTCTGCGCCTTAATATCTGATCTACTGCTTATAGATGAAAGCGGGATGGCTTGATTACACTTAGTTTGCGATGTAATAGCGTTTAATTTAAAGAACCAGAGGAGAAAAGGCTGTTATTGCAATAACACAGGGATACCGCCTGGTTCCTTATAGATAAATTATGATCAAGTATGAAATTGCCATGGTATGAGCTAACGAGAGCAGCCCTATCCGATTAGCCATGCCTTAAATCTGGCTCAAACAGGACAGCTGACTACCCTGGATAAACACTGAGGGGAAAAAGACAAAGCTCACCAAATGAAATGATAAATGTAATAAACAAACAAACAAAAAGAACTCCTACATGATCACTTCCTGGTCATTTTTTTTTTTTTTCAAAGCATAAGTTACTTATGGTTTGAAAAACACTTCTGTACACGTGTAATGATCCGAGGGACTGACAAGGAGAGGAGTCGCTCATTCTACAGAACTACAACACGTCGGCGTGATGCATGATAAGGCTTGCAGGCTGCCTGGGTACTTACGATAATGAACCCGAGGACGACCTGGACTGCCTCTTGCTCTTAAGGGCTCGTAGTTTATCACCCTGCGTGAGGCCGTTTCTCTCCTCTTCATCATTGTACTGGAAAACAGAGGAAAAAGACAAAGTGGTAGGTCCTCGTGGTTCATTAGCACTTTTTTTAAGAGGTGCTTTGAAAAACTCTTAATAAATTCTGAACAAGAGCGCCCTTTCCAACTCACCAGTTCCATTTCTTCCTTCTTGGATGCCCTGTTCTTGTTGCTTCCGTTGATGGTTATGTCATCCACTCCGGACAGTATCCTGGTTACAGCCATCTTGCCGTTCTCTCTTTCGTTTAACATCTTCTCTCGGAAAACATCTCCGTCTGCCCACAGGCCGTTCTGCTTCCTGAGGTGCAAAATGTCAACAAACCGAAAAATAAACTTGCTTTGCTTGCCGAACACCTTTTGCTATTAAGATTTCTCAGACAACCTGCCCTCACACGAAGCTCGTCTGATGCACAGGTCTGCGTTATAATGAGCGGCTACTCAAGGCCCTGAAACACAGGTTTCTAAATCAGCACCGTCAATCAAATCTGATGAGTTTCTGGCTGCTGTCAGACTCTTCATACCTACAGATGTGATTTTCCAAACTTTAACTCTTGTTGGTGCTTGTTTAGTCTTTAATTGTGCAAAGAAATCTGTGACATTTAGAAAACCCTGCTTCGAGCAACACCTACTCTTCAACGAAGTTCTGCTGAGGCCCAATGATGGACCCCGGTCGGCAGATCCGTATCCATGCGATGACTTCTGCTGCGGTCAGGCGGTAATGTTTCATCATGTAGCAGCCGATCAGAGTGCCAGTCCTCCCCAGACCAGCTGAAACAAAAGTGGTGCGGCATTAAGTTGTGCAATAATCAGCATATAAGGTAGAGGTTATACAGTCACAGGTGTGTTTTTACCTTTGCAGTGAACAGCGATGGCTCCTTCTGCATTCTCACAGATGTTGAGGAACTTTCTGACGATGGAGTCGTTGGGTGTACTCCCGTCCACAAAGAACAGGTCGTGATGCTCGAAGCCAGAGTCTGTGAAGCGCCTGGCGTCGTACATCTTCTTGTTGAGTCTGATGATCGTGGTGATGTTGTGTTTTCTGAAGTATGGGATGTAAGCCTCAGGCGCATGCAAAGGATACCCTTGAGTAAGAGAAGAACATTCTCATGAGGTCAGGAGGCATTCAAATGAGGTCAGGCATAGTTCTGTAAAGTCATTAAATTACCATTCTCTATTTTGCTCTTTGGATGAGGCCCGCTGAAAGCAAGGAACTTTCCTGGAATGATCCAGTTCAAGTCTCCATTTTCTGCTCTCTCGTAGTGCTCATATTCCTCCACATCAAAGTTAGAGAAGTCGAGCCAGCCGTACTGCAGAGCCTGGTGGGTGGTTGAGAGGAAAATCAGTTTATTAGGAGCACGGCAATAAAAGAAAGAAAAATAAATCTGCCTTTAAAAATACTTGCTTTGTGAACACCACGAAGGCAATCGAGGATGTTCAGATTGTACATGCAGGTTCCAAATGAAGCATCTCTGTAAAACAGAAAACATATGATGGATGTTTTATCTTCTGTTTTCCATCACTTTGTCTCTTAAAAATCTTCTGCTAAGCCTTTTCCTAACCCTCTTTGTCTTTAAAAGCACAACAGCGCTTATTCTTGTGCTGCAGCTGGGGCTGAACAACATTGGAATATGATTACAGCAGGTAGAAAAAAAGAAAAATCAGAAACCAGAATTTAATTAACTGATATTAGAAATGCTACAGGGGCTCGACTGTATGCAATAGTAAAATACACTTTGTAAAGTGACAACTGTACGTTTCCTGTTGTCATTTAAAACAAGCAAGCGTATTTATACAGCACCTTATCACACATAGAGGTTATTCAAAGAGCAAAGGTTAAAAAAAAAACAAAAGCATGTAATAAGATAAAATAAAAATGCAGCAAAGTTCATAAAAATAAAAAGCCAAGCTGATTAAAGTGCACAAAACTTCTGTTGAATAATTAACTCTGATTAAAACAGCTTGAAAGACAAAAGACATGTAAAAAAAACTCGTTAAAGACATTTTATATGACACTATTTTAATAGAAAGATTAACAAATTGTGTTCAGTTGGTACCTGAAAGGAATATACGTTGAGTTCCTGGACACCAGCAGACTGTAGGCCTCCTCTGGCATCATATTGAGATGCATTACCTTTAAAAACAAATGTCTAATCAGCAACTTTAGGTGCAGGTAAGTTCACAAGCTGTGTGTAAAATGCTCGTTTGTACGCAACTTACTGCATATGAGCCGATCAGGTAGGCAGCATTGGCTTGTTTTTTCTGATCCCCGCACGTATAAAATATGATCTTCTTCCTTGAGAGTGTTATGGACTGTGCAAAGATATAAAGAACAGCATGAAATGACATACCGTGTTTATACGACTTCAAATCTAGCATGCAGTAATGAAAAGAGCAAACATTTATTTTTCCACTCCTCCTCCTGAGTATCACTCAACCGGGTTTTATTAATTCTAAAAGCTGCAGCTAAAGGTGACAGATTAAAGTGTAATTTCCTCATTAAAAAGGACTTGAACTTTCAAAGATCTCTTGCAGTCTTGTTGGAAGATTTACGGACTTCATTACAAAAAAACGCTGCATAGGTGGTGGGGTGAATGTCAAATTAAATTGTCTAAGAATGAGGTCGGACAACCCCCACATAAGACGGTAATGAGCTGGAGCTGCAGATCTGTGCCTTTATTTCCTCAAATCTGTGCCCTGTGGCCTCCCAAGATCACACCACGAACAAATACAGACAAACTACCTCGATAAAGAGGAACAGTGCCATCACAAATTGACAAATAAAGAATACAAGGGGCATAAATTAAACAGTAAAACAGCTATTAAGCATGCAAAAATGCTCCACTGCACTGTACTTGCAGGTATAAGTAAATATTGATTGACCTGGGTTTGTCTTCCCAAAAAATGCAATTAAGAGCAGCAGTTTGCTTTACCTTGAGCTTCTTCGTCAGCTTGCAACAGAAGCGATAAAACATGGCCAGATTAAGGGGACCAAAGTCCGCATAGAAGCTGAGGGAGAGAGAGAGAGAGAGAGAGACAAAGAAGAAGAGTGTGTCAGAGTGGCTATTTATGCAACCAGCTATTGTCTCTGGGGAAGTTTCACTGGATAAAATCAGCTACCTCACACTGACACAGTAAAAACACTGACAGTGTAAAAGACTATATTTGGAAACATCTGATGTAGGAGTGGGTCAATCGGAACAGGACGAAAAGCTGCAAAGACAAGAGGTCTTGTATTTATATTTTTTATTTTTTCTGTACCACTGGCACAAAATCCCGGAAGGTCAGACGCGTCCCTCTCTTGTGGCCGAGTGAACAACAATCCACTGAAGCGAGCCCATCCTCCACCGGAGCTGCACCAATGCACTTTTGTTTACTTCTTCTGACAGCACAAACTGGCAAATCCTCATTATGTAAAGCTGTGCACCGTGATGTTCCTGAGTAACAGCACGGTTCTGCAATTAAGGCTAAATGAGATTCAGCATTCTGAATTGTGTGCAAGTGTATTTATATGGGATTTCTTTGGGTAGGACTGCAATGATAGCACAAGGTGTGGCCACTGTAGGCCCATTTGAAAAAGTCTCCTCTTGCACCCAAGAGAGGTGGAAGGGGCAAGAGGGCAAAGTGCAAGAATAGTGCAATCAGCACAGTTCAAAATGCACAGACCACATGACTACTCACTTCTCATATGAGAGCTCTTCATCTATGCAGAAACAGTGTCTTTCAGCTGTGCTCTTGATCTTTTGCTGGAGGATGGCAAAATATAGTTGATCTGGAGGAAGGAGGGAGGGGAGGAGAGGAGAGGGGAAGGGAAGGGAAGGGGGGTAGGGCGACAAAATAAAAGAGGCAGTTACTTGCTTTTGTCATGCGCAAAATACACACTTCTACAAACCACAACAACTTCTTCTAAAGTCTTTTTTTTCCTGGCAACTCACCCTTGACGAACTCAATACATCTTGACGCAACATCGTCCGCGCTCATCTTGCCAACAGTTTTGAACATGACGCCTTTTTTTTTTTTTTTTTTTTTTTTGCAGAGACAAGCTGAGTTTCTTCACGAGGACTTGCGCATGCTAAGCTAACTTTTACGCGAAGGATGTGTTTTGAGTATATCAAAAAGACGAGTTAAACGCGGTAGTTTAAAAAGAAACTGGCGTCGCGAAGAAGATTTCTTGAGTGTGACTTTGTTTTCAAAGAGGAGAAAGTCACCACCAGCCGAAGAGGGAAGGGACGGAGAGTTTCGAAGGCAAGTGCGCACTCTGCTAAAAATGATCCCGCCGCGGCTCCTCCCCCGGGTCGTTCCGCGGGATCCTATTGGCTGCGAGAGATGAAGGACGACACGCGATTGGAGGAGCAGCGTGTCAGTCACGCCCAGCCCCGCCCCGCTCAGTTTAAAGTTCTCCACATAAGACACATGATAGGCTCTGGGCCCGTTGCCCAAGCGGTTGCTAGGACGATCCGACAGCCAATCAGGATCGCGGTCTCCACTCGGACGACCCGCCCCCTCTCTCCCGACTTGAGCTCACCGAGGATGTGCAGCAACCAGGAAACGCCATAAAGATATGAAAATTAACATTAGGTGAAGCTGACAGTGGGCTGACTGTGATATATTTATGCCATTACTACATCACAACACCTCCCATGCACGTCTACGACTCAGTCCGATGGTGCACACAAAGAGAAGTTATTGGCTTTGTGGTGAAAAAACACACAACAGCAAAATTGTTAATTGGAGTATTATTGTGTGCGCTGACTGTGCAGGTAAGTCGATGCAAATCCAGTGTATTAACGATAAAGGGACAGACGATGTCGCCATATTAGGGCAAAAGCTGCAAAAAAAAAAAATCGCTTTAAATGACATCCCGGTCATTTAAAGCGCATTTGTGCGAGTGCGCAGCCTGCCGTGCGCGCCTCAACGCATTTGCCAACTAGGCTGAAAGTTGACGGGGTTCATTCTGCAGCCCCTCTTACCTGTTATCTCAATGTAAATATCAGAGTTTGGCTCCGCCTCTGAGCTGCTGGGAGCTGCACAGCGCTTTTTCCTCGACTCGGCTCGCCTCCTCTCGCTCTTGCGCTTCATTTTCTCCTCAGGGCTGCACGGTGGACATTCCTGAGCAGCTGCGACACAGCTCCTCCGCTTCGCAGTGCGGCGGCGTGTCCCCGTTTTGTTTGCCGCGTTAATATGGCATGTCTGTATCTGCGTGTGTTGTGTGTGTGTGTGTCAGCAGAGGTAGCCCTGCTCCAGCCTCTGTGGTGGTGGTGGTGCTGCTGCTGCTGACGTCTGTGAACAGGGGCAGGTTTCTGTTTTCTGAATCCCCTGCAAGTGACGTATCAGGATTAGATGTCCAGTGCCCACCCTTCACTGTTGAGCTGCAGCAGCTGTAGAGCTTCACGGAGTACACGTTGGGAATGTGGACCTATAGCTGCTGATTAGTTCCCATTTGGATGCTTTGATCCTGCAGTGCAGAGTGGGAATCAAGACACATGCAGCCAAGAATGAAACTTTATTCCCAATATAATAAACGCTGTGGATGTACACACACAATAAGAGGCAGTAAAATCAGTGCACCAGCTGTTATTAAAGCCCCTCTCCAGGCATTGATTAAACCACAAAACTGTAAATGAACCATGCAGAAAGTTTTCTGACTTAGAGATGAAGTAAAAATGTAATCTCTGTTGTTATGTTACAAAAGGGCCACAAAAAGTTTTTGAAAACTTGAGTTTATTGCTTTAACGAACAATGAACAGATAGTGAGACCAGCACACATACACTCCATTTACCAATGACTATAAAAGGTATTCTTAAAATGCTGCTTTAATTAAATGAGACAATGCTACAGATGACAATAGAAAAATAACAACAGGCTGCTGGCATGTCGCTTAGAGGTGTAACCAGGCAGGTTTCAGGTCTCAGAGAAACCTGCTGATGAAGTTGTTGGTCTGCTCAAACTATGAGGGAAGCCGGTTTGGTGCCTGCACCTGAACCTTTATCTAATGGCAGCACGGTGGCGTAAACAGCTCCAGTGAGAGTCGCAAGATGGAGGATCGTCCTTTCCACCGATGAATGTCACATTCAGCTGCATAGAGCATTCTACCCGGACATGCCAGACCCTCATAAGGAGTGCAACAACATCTTACAAACCACCATCAACTTGTCATTTATAGCTTTTAACTTTCTTTAACCACAATAAAAAAAATCTTCATACAAGTACTGGAACGAAAGTATACAACATATTACTCTGATAGAAAAGGCACAAAACCAAACCTGACCAACAACAGTAATGCTCTCATACTTCTGTTTTATCACTCATGCGTCCACACCACAGACTCTATTTTGCCAAAAACAAAAAATGCTCTCACCCTTAAGGTCACTTGGTAGTTTTTCCACATCTTGCAGCTTCATCAGCACACGAGATGTAGTTGATTTAGCTTTAGTTAAGTTTCTATTTTTGTGAAATTGCTGTTTCCAAGGTCAACAATGAGCTGTTCTTGCTGCAGTTTGTCAGCGCAGAACGGTGACGTAAGCAAACAAGCAGCATACAATGGGGTCCACAAGTCTGACATTAAATATCTGTCATATTTACATAAAACCTGGAAATAATGACGAGGTTTGTGGATTTAAAAGAAGCTCTGGCATGCGAAATGAAAAAGGAATATTTAAGATTCTGCTCCATTTTTAGGTCAGCGTTCAAATTTAAGCAAATCTGAGCCGTGTTAACTTCTTTGATGTAAATGTCAGGGTGGAGCATCCAAAGCACAGCCAAGGAAAATAAAAATGAGATGTGCAGTAGTGACAGAAGGGGGTATGTGAGTAGACAAACAGGAGAGCTAATCCTACCTTAGCCACAGTGAAACATTATTATTTAAATCTAAGACTGAAGGACTGGACCTCGTGCACCCTGACCAAGATGAAGTAGCACTCCATTCTTCAAACATACCTCTGGTGTGCATCTTTGTAGAGACAGATTCACCAGCAGTAGCATATTAAAACCCAAATGCAGCCCACGCTTTATAAGAACTACACTGGTGTCGAAGAAAGTGCATCACCCAGAGATATTATGCAAATTGCCAAAGTTCATGGCAACATCTCTTACAGCAGCTGCAGCTACACATGCATTATCTTTGGCTTATTGCTGAAATCCAGCGTCTGCTGAACTCCGGCGAGCTGAAGGAGCCAGTTAATGGGCATGTGGTCGAGTCGGTTCATGTCAAAATGGGCGAAATGAACTTGAGAGCCTGCGCAGAGAAGATAGAAAAGATATAAAGCCACAGAGGCAGATAGGGGAATTAAGATTGAGCATTTACACAAATAAAAGACAGAGAGAGAGAGGAAGGGCAGCTTACCAGGTCCTGCGATGATGGCTCCACCCTGCTGATGTAGGTCACCCTGAAAGTCAAATGCAGGACTAGTCATGGCCCTCCATATACTCTTCATCTGGCCCGCAAACATACCGGACTTGACGTGGGGACTGGGGTTCGCTGAGGACACAAACACAAACAAAGATGCATATTTTCATTTCAATTAGGTGACTCACTCCTGCAACGGGTTTCTGACCTCTTAGGGTTACTGCATACCAGAGTCGGAAAATTTCTCCTCTCGCTTCATGCCGAGCTTTTGGTAGATGCACCTCTCCGGGTCCACGTATATTTCGTAAGGATATCCCGTCAGCGAGCAGAATGGCTGCATGAGAGACGGAAGGACATGTCTCATGTACAGTGTACAGTATGTTTAAATCCAAATTCAGACCAATAAAAACAAATAATAACAACAAAAATAAACAAAATATGAGTTGTCTTTAAGGATAAGCAATGAAAAATCAAATAAAGTTTGAGTCAGAATTAAATGTGCATCTCAACTGATTATAAGAGACAGTGTGATATGAAAGATTAAAACAAATGAATGAATCTGTCCCAGCTGAGGTAATGACAGTGACAGTGATGATGGTAATAATTTTTGTTGTTGTTGTTATTGTTGTTATTATTGGTTTCATTGTTGCTGTCTTGGCTTTGATTCTAGGTATCACTTGAATGACTGTTAGCGCTAGTATTAGTGTTTCTATTGCTGTTGTTTTGCCTTCTGTCTTCCATTGGTGGCAGTATGATTATTTTCATTTTATTTTATTTATATTATTATTATTTTATGTGTATGTATGTACATGTATGTATATATGTATACATATTTTTTGCTTTTCTTTTTTTCCTTAAATAATATATTTACATACATTGTTGCACATCTAACTTATCTGATGTTTGTCTTGTGTCTTGTACGTTTGTCTAAACTCTCATGTCGTGTCATTTGTAAAAGCTCAATTTCAAAAAAAAATGAATTACCTCAATATGATGATGAGCAGACTGACCGATCACAACCAGTCTAATTCCAGCATCCTGCAACAACACACACAAAAATTTGACTGATCTGAGCTGCTGTCTTATGCAAGTATCTGATTTAATGTCAGATTTGCAGCAAGTTGTTATGAATGCAACAGAAAAGACATTTGCAGTGTACAGCAGAAAAGGAGATAGTGCAAAAATGCATCAGTTTAAAAAGACAACATGAAAATATGCACAAGTAGTGTTGATATTACACAGATTATTCCATATGTAGGAATTCAGATATTGCACAGATTCCTCTAGATGTGGAATCAGAAACAGATTTATTGCTGGTATAGTTTGCACAATACGAGGAATTTGCTCTGTTGGGTTGGTGCAACAATAAATATACAGAGTGAGGAACAACGTACAAGATAAAAATATAAAAATAGCTAAATATAACTAAAAATAAGAATAACTATAGTAGTGCAAAGCAGAAGCAAAAGATATTTTGCAATGAAGAATTAAGTTAAGTTTAAATTTGAACCATAGAACTGTAGTTATTTATAAGAATTTACAAGAGTGCAAGGTGTGGAGGTACAACTTTTTTTTCAGAATCATAAATTAATGACATTGCATAGATAAAAGTAGGAAAATACTGATACTGAACACATTTTTACTTACTCAGGAAAAGAAGATATTTCAGATTTTTTTGTTTTTACTTGTAGAAAATCTATATATTGCGCTTGAAGTGTAAAAAAAACACATTGCACATTTTCCTACCTCCAGTGCCTCTCTGGGTATTTTGCTCAAATCCTCCACATACTCTTTGCAGCTGTAGCACAGGAAGTTCTGCAGAGACACACATGACACAATATGGGCAGTGTAGTGATGAGTGGCACCACGTTGCATCTTAAAGCTCGCACCTATACACCATCCATCCATGCCTCTGTCTTCACCTATGCACATGATCTCTCCATTCTTTCCGCCACAGATCGAGCAGCTGCGTCCAGGAGGAGGCTCACCTGCTGTCTACGCTCAACAAACACCTTCCCAGCCTCAATCTACTTCACTTAACCTCTAATGAGTTTTTTACAGCAGCCTATAGAACTCATCAGCAAAAGGTTAAGCCAAACGAAGATTTTTTATTTTTTATTTTTCCTCCTACCCGAACGAAAATTATGATCGATTTCCTTTCTTGATATAAGCTCCTGAACGCAGCAGAGACTCCGTGCCGGTCGTAAATTAAACAATCCTCGACGTCCTGCAGATGGATATCGACAAAAGCGGTCCCAGTTTCCCGGCTTTCCGTAGTTACTTGTCGAGTTATGGGTAAAACTTCCTCAGCCATTTTTTTTTTTCCTCTCCTCTTTCTGACGCTTCCGAATTCGCAGAGCTATTTTAGGAGCCGTTCAGCCTGAAGGAGCTGCTGGCTGGAAACTCACGCCCACATGCTGAGCGACTGGGAGGGAGACAGAGAGGCTTATTTCTACTGAGTAGGAAAGTTAAACAGGGGGTAGTTATTGGTTATGATGACTAATAATGCCACTTTCTTCAGTGCAGAACGGAAATCAATGCACATGCAGCAGTAACAGTTTACCAGATGTCTTTGTAATAAGAAAATGAAGATCATTTTGTAAGATTTGTGCTTTTACAAAAGGCACTCACACAGGGACCATGCTGCAAAACAAGGCCTCAGTCTCTGCAGTGCAATTCAGTTTCATTTATGTTATGCTCCACATCATATGTCATCTTGACATAGTGAGGTAAAGATCTTACACAATTGTACAGAGAAAGAGAAACCCAATAAATCCACAGATTCCCTTTGAATAGGCTCTTTAACAACAGTAGGAAGAGAAAACTCCCTTTAAACAGGAAGAAACGGGCGGAACCAGGCTCAGGGAGAGCAGCTGTCAGCCTCCACCAGTTCATAATAATAATAATAAAACAATAATTGATTAGATCATTGTCACATACGCATACACTGTCAAATATTCATTCACACACATTCATTCTGGTGGTGGTAGCTACCATTGTAGCCACAGCTGCCCTGGGGCAGACCAACAGAGGCGTGGCTGCCATCTGCCCCTCCAACCACCACCACAAACAGTCCATTCATACACATTCACACCAGGCAAGGTGGGTGAAGTGTCTTCCACAAGGACACAACGACCACGATGCAGGTTACAGGACGGAATCAAACCGTCGACCTTCCGATCATTGACCGACCCGCTGTACCATCTGAGCCACAGGTTGGGATGACGGTACAGTGTAGACAATAATAATACTAGATAGAAAGCATACAGTAGGAGCCGTTTATGTTTATTGTTGGCAGGTTATTTAGTTTGGACACATGGTGGCGGTAATTAGACACAGACTGAATATGTAGAGGGCACAGGTGACAGGAAGAGGAAAGTACAGGTAAGGGCAGTTCTCACCAGTCCAGCATCAGACCAGTAAACAGACGAGGACAGATGCATACTAAATTCACCATAGGAAAACCCCTGTATGTGTATTTCTGGATATCATCAAATAAACCATCCACTATATGGTCTGGAAATTCAGTTTTGAGTCTGCGTCCCTTCACTTCTGCTCCACCTGTGCAGTAATGCCAATAAAAGGACACTGAAAAACTGCCATTAAACATACAATGCATAAGGGAACCATAAGCACTGAGGAAGATGGGGAGGCCAGTAACTGCAAATCAGAGAAGTGTAGACACCTTTGGAGAGGACAAAACACAAACAGAGAGAGGACACGAGGTTAGTGACACACAATAGCGGTAAATAAATGGATCGTGTATCATCGGAAGCCTCCCAGCAGCCTACAAAGCAGCAGAGCCAATCGATGGTTAAGGGTCATCTGAGTCAGCCCTACCTATAATAATAATAAATAATACATTTGATTTGTAAGCGCCTTTTGGAGCACTCGAGGACACTTTACAAGAATAGTTAAAACAATAAAAACAACAAATGACAAGAAAGCAGCAGATAAAAACATCACAAAAGAAAATAAAGATGAACCAGCAATTACAGGGAAAAGATGGGTTGTGAGCTTGGATTTGAAGACAGGCAGTGGATCGGTCTTACAGATATCTGGTGGCAGCGAATTCCAGAGATTGGGGGGGTAGAACGGGAGAAGGATCTGTAAACAGTGGTGGTGAGGGGAGGTGGATGGAGGAAGATGATCTGAGGGAGCGGGAGGGGGGTGGCGATGTGGATGAGCTCGGGAGGGCCGAGGCTGTTAAATGTGCACAGGAGGATTTTGAAATTGATTCCGAACTGGACCAGTGAAGTTCTCGGACGACTGAGAGGAGGGGTTTTGGAGATAATGCGTGCTATCAGTTTTATCAAAGCCTGATCCTAGAGAGGATATCTACCTCTGAGCACAATCTATGAACTGGTTTCCACAGCAGAAGGAGCCTGCCAGCTAAACGCTCTGCCTCCCACTCTCCGTTTAGAAACTGTAGGAGCCACAAGCGAACCTGCCCTCTGAGAGCAAAGTGCTCTTTTGGGATAATGTGTTGCTATAAGGTCTTTAAGATCTGATCTCTCTTGCTAGTTCTGGTCAAAACTACTGCTGCAGCATTTTAGATCAATTAGAAGTTTTGCAGAAATTTATCGTGAGATTTCAATAATTAGCAATTGCAATATTCTACTTTTCAGCATCACTATGGGACAGGATGTTTTTGACAGTATTGTGCAGGTGAAAGAAGGTTGTCGTGGCATTTAAGGACATATGCTCGTCAAAAATAACTCCAACGTTCCTCGCAGTCATGCCGTCTGAGTTGCTCAAGGGTATTGCACATAGACTGTACGGTGTTGCACTGAGGTTAAGCTGTAACTATTGAAGCAATACTCTAGTGATTTACAACAGAAGAGTTTGTGGAATTCACAAGAGACCGAGACAGCAGAAGTCAGTTTAACTTCCCAGCACTGGACCTGGCATTTCCTGTACTGCAGCTCAAAAACATCTTCCATCAAACCCTCTCTGCCTTCCGACGTGACAGCTTCTTGCAAACTCCACCCTGAATTTTTGTAATACAGCAACAGAGACCTGCTATATACAAAAAAGGAGAGTGAAGCTGACATAACCCTGCTTGTTGACATCATCACGGTTATTTTCTCAGACTTGACAAAGATCCTCAAAAGCCACAAGAGACGTTATGCAACAGTGTCCACAGGCAAATTTTGGGAAAGCAGTCTTGTGTTTGTGTATTTCACGTTGCTATACTTTTCAGACTTTGTCTTGAGGATTACATTCCAGTCACAGAGATAAATATCCACATTTTGGCTGATGGCCACCCAGTCCTGTTAACTGAGTACAGACCTGTGACTGCTCAGCTGTTTCTGTGCAATGTCTTGTATAGAAGAAACGTGGAATATAAATTATGAGTTATATGAGGATATAAATGTTGTTTGAACAAAATGATCTTTTCGTCTTTATTATTGTAGCATGTTTTAGTTAGAAAAGCAGAAGCACAAGTCAGAACGTGAGAGGCTGCAGAACGTCAATATGCAAAATGACAGAAACCAACCAAACCTGCTGCTTGAATACTATCTTACGAATACGATCTTAGGTATTTGTCTTGTTTTCAGGGTTGGAAATCCACTTCAGGTTGTCAAAGGACCATTTCAGTGTATCAGATTTGGCTTATCTTTGTGAAATGAATCAAATATGTTATCATCAATGCAAAATTCATGCAAAAAAAAACTAACTAGGGCTTATTTTTATTCTCGATTCGTCTGTTGTTTATTTTCTCAATTAATCATTTATTCAGTTATTATTTGGGTTATAAAATGTCAAGAAAGGGTGAAAAATGTTGATCAGTGTGAGTCAGTGTAGATGTGATGTGTGTTTGCAGGAGTTTACCTTTTTTTTCTCTGAATAAATTTGATATATAAGATTCCCTGCACCACAAAGGAGACCAAGCAGGAAGTGTGTGTAGCCTTCAACTTATCTGTGTTGTCCACAACCCAAAGATATTTAATTTATTGCATTAGAGGAATAGAAAGCTGCAAGGTGAAGCGGTGATTAGCACCGTGGCCTCGCAGCTAGAAGGTCGCCGGCTCGCATCCTGGTGAGGACACCTGAGATCTTTCTGTTTGCATGTTCTCTCCGTGCAGCGTGGGTTCTCTCCAGGTTCTCTGGCTTCCTCCCACAAGGTCCAAAAACATGTTGAGGTTAATTGGTGATTCTAAATTGTCTGTAGGTGTGAATGTGAGTGTGCTTGGTTGTCTGTCTCTAAGTGTACCCCTGTGTTAGACTGGTGACCTGTCCAGGTGTCCCCTGCCTTCGACCCTAGTGAGGATTAAGCAATGTGTAGATAGAGATACCAGAAATATTTACATTGAAGAAGCTGGAATCTGAGAATTTGCTTTCTTTCTTTAAAAATCTATACATTTTTTTGGGCTGTAGCACCGGCAGGACGAAGTGTTACTTGAATCAGACTCACTTTAGCACTGACTCTGTCTCAGGGCCTTACAGCAGGCAGCTTCATTCAGAACCCGAACGAATTACGAATCGCCCTCGCCGGCTTCCGTCCCGCTGCCCTCTCGGTGCGGAAGTGTTGTCCTCCAGAGCAGCAGCAGCAGCAGCAGAGGCAGAGCCAGGGCTGCCACTGTTTGGGATAAACACCACGGCAGTTCAGCAGCGGGTTTCCTCGCCTCCCTGTCTCTTGTGCCGGGACTTGCCAGTGCTCCTGTGGGCCGTGCAGAGCAGCAGTATTATGCGAGCGCCGTCCGGAGTGTGGGAGCACCGTGTGAAGTGGTGAGAGAGAGAGAGAGAGAGAGGAGAGGTTTCATGTTGGGGCTACGGCTAACTTAGCATCTGCTGATGGAGCGAGCTAGCCTGTCACAAAGCTCAACTGGGTTAGCAACGGAACCGTGTCTCTAAATGAGGGTGTGACTGGGTTAAGTTGGAGGAAATATCAGACCCGAACCCGCAGCCGTTCGGGGCGGACGTTAGGGCAGCTTCGTGTTGCTCGTGTGTTGCTAAACAAATGACCACCTGTTCACTGTTTACATCTTTGTGTTTTCATTCGGCAGCAGCGAGCAGGCGATGCTCCGCTTTCCCTGCTAGACTTCAGGATGACAATAACAGGCTTTGCAATTTTTTTTTGTATTTAAGCGCCTGCAATGAAACGAGGGCTTTTAAACTCTTGACAAATGGTGTATTCATAACGTATGAATCGAGTGGCTTCAATGGAGGGATAAGTAGGTCCGTAAAGCTGGCTGCTCCGTTGTTGTGTGCTGTTCTGCACATATAGTATTTACACTCAACATATAATTACTTCTACAATCATTTCTTTGTGACATTAAGCTGAAATGCTGCCGTGCAGTCTAGTGATGTGCTTTTCATG